TAATTAATATATTATTTTTATTTTTCTTATTTACAAAGGTAAATATACACCGCAGTTCGTTCAGCAAAACCCTAAACCTTCATACTTTCGCTGCGTGTGGGCTTATATATGCTGCAGCAACAGCAACCCTTATTAAATGCCTGGACGAAAATATATAAATTTGAATGAAAGTATTATTAATAAATAAAAACAAATAAAAAACAAAGAAAAACAGGTTTTTATACAACAATTCATACGGTGCTGATATATATAGCTGTCTATATATACACATATTATATTTGCTTCTGCTGCGGTGTACATACAGCGCAGCGCAGGTACGCAGCGGCTCCTCGCCTATCTTGATTATAGAGTTTTTAATTGGGTTTAGAACGAGACAAGAATAAATAATAGAATTAATTTATGTTTACAGAGGCCCTGAAGCTGATTAAGGAGTTAAAATGCGTCTCTGCTTCTCTCTGCTTATCTCGCTGTTCGTAGTTGTATTCTCTGCTGTCTGTACAATGCATACTGCTTCTGCAGCTCCTTCGGGTGAAGACCTGCAGCAGAAGCTGCAGAGTGCCTCACAGGTGCCTTCAAACCCTAAACCCTAAACCCTAAACCCTCAGCAGGCTTGACGGCTAAACCCCTACGCTCAGTTTCATGGGGGCCCTCTAAGGGGGGGCCCACTGCTATTCTTCTTCCTTTATAAACCCTAAACCCTCGTTTTAATGCCTCTACTTCTTTACTAAACCCTAATATATTATTCTGTGTCTCTTCCTGTGTGATAAACCCTAAACCCTTGTTTGTCTGTCTGTGCTGGTCTACCGGCACCTAAACCCTCATTTCTCTGCTTCTTCTCTCTCCAGCAAACCCTAAACCCTCGTTTCTGTATCTCTACTTCTTCACCAAACCCTAAACCCTCGAATTGTCTCCGTGCCTCACACAGGAGGTATTAGGTTCTGTTTGTCTATGTGCGGGCGTTGAGTGCTAACTTTCCAGTGGTTTGCTCCTCTTGAGGGTTTAGGGTTTAGGGTTTAGGGTTTAGGGTTTAGTGTTTATGTTTGGCTTTGGTCGCTTATAGGTTTTTGTGCAAACGGTTTTGAATTTCGGGTGTTTTCTCGGCCCACTCAGGGTTTAGGGTTTAGGGTTTAGGGTTTAGGGTTTAGGGTTTGTGCGTTGTTTAGGTTGTAGAGTTCTCGCATATCGCTGGATCTGAAGGTGGTGATACAGCAGAAGTGCGTGTACGTGTGGGGTCTACAGTAGCAGTACGCGTCCGGTGTACAGGGGGGCATAGAGCAGTCATGTTATCTGCTGAGAAGGTTTCTGCTGCAGCAGACTCAGATGCAGCAGCAGCAGCAGTAGCAGCAGCAGCAGAAAAAGCAAAACAAATCCCTTCTTCTTCAGAAGATGTTCTTAAACTCGTTGAAGAGGGGCCTCCAATGCCGGAGGGTCTTTCTGTTGTTCTACCAACCCCTTTTACTGGTTAGTATATTATAAATATAAATAGTAATACTAATATTAAGATAAATAAATAAATATTAATATGTACATACAGTTTCTTTCTGTCTCTCTTCGCTTCTTAAGCACCCGTGCTGTCTCCTTTGTCTCTTACTGTCTCTCTCTCTCTCTCTCTCTATATATATATATATATAAATATATATAAATATATATATATTTATATCTTTATCTCTGTTCTTCTCATTCTTATTTTGACGCGTCTCTGTTGTTTTTGTTGTTTTGTTGATTTTGTTTTTTTGTTTGTTTTTGTTGTTTTGCTGTCTCCTCATCTTCTCGCTTTGTTATTTTATGCTGTCTCTCTTTCTGTCGCACTTATATATATATAAATTTATATATATATATATATATTAGTGCTAAAGATCTGCATATAATAAATAAGAATATAAAAATATAACAATAGCCATAAATACATTTACATCTAACTATAGATCCAAATATAAAAAACAAATAAATAAATATATATAAAATATAAACATAAAAACAAATAAACTTAAATCTAAATAAATAAATAAATATAAACTAGATAAATAAATATATATATATATATATACATATACACATATATATCTACATATTTACATATTTATATATATATATATATATATATATATTTGCATATTCATTTATACTTTTATATATTTATTTATATTTATTTATTTATTTATTTATATTTATTTATTTATATTTATTTATTTATTTATATACAGGTCCGAATGCTGAGGGTTTGGGTTTGGTTGGTGCTCCGACTCCTTACGTAAGTACAGTAACTGTAGATACAGCTGGACTGTATACAGTTCTTTTCGGCAGTGTTCGGCCTTGGGCGCCTCAAGGAGGGGCTGTCTTTGTCTTAACGATTATTGCTGTACCTGAGTGAGCATTAGGAGGTTAAGGGGTATATATATATATATGTATTATATGTATATATATGTATATATAGATGTATTATATGTATATGTATATATATAGATTAAGATATAGATATGTAGATATATCTGTCTATCTATATCTATATATATATATATATACGAAGATAAGGAGATCAAGGGGTAAAGATATAGATATAGAGATCTATCTATCTATCTATCTATCTATCTATCTATATACATGTATATATATGTATATATGCATACAAAGATATATCTATACCTATATATCTGTCTATCCATCTATATATATCTATATATCTATATATCTATATATCTATATATATGTAGATATAGATATATAAGTCTGGCTGTCTCTGTCTTTTTCTGTTTATTTGTGTGTCTCTCTGTCTGTCTCCTTTTGTTGCTGAATGTCTGTGAAAACGATTAAAAGGAGACAGAAGGTTAATGCTGATTTGTTTGTCTTGTTCGTCTCTTTGATTCTGATAATGCATGCGAAACTATGAGGGACAGATATAGACAGATGGAAAGATAGAGAGAGACAGACAGAGACAGACAGAGACAGACAGAGACAGACAGAGACAGAGAGAGACAGAGACCCTCTTATCCCTCCTCCTGCTGTCCCTCTATTTGCGTTTAAGTTGATGCTGAGAGTTTTTTCTGTCTCCTTTCAAACCATCTCTCTAACATCATGTCGGCACTGCATATACACTGCAATAAACCCCAGACGCCAGCAGCAACCGCTGCTGCTGCTGCTGTCTCTGCAGCAGCAGCATCTACTGCTGCTGCTGCTGTCTCTGCAGCAGCAGCATCTACTGCTGCTGCTGCTGATACTGCTGCAGCAGCAGAGACACCATGCAGATGCAGGAAGCGGACGTTTTCTTTGACTTGGTGCTGCACAGTAAACCTGCTGCAACTTTTGCTGCTGCTGCTGCTGCTGCTGCTGCTGAGATCTGCTGCAGCACTCGCTGCTGCTGCTACTGATTTGTCTACACTAAGAGCAGGAGAAGCACTGAGGGTAAAGTGCTGCTGCAGCAGACTGTAGTTTGTTAGCTGTCTTCATTTTAGGTCGCGCGTTCGATTCCCAGCAAATGTAATTTTATTATTTAGGATAATATAATAATAATAGTAATAATAATAATAATAATAATACTAGTAGAGTTGCTGGCTGTCTTAATATAATAGATTATTAAATTTAGTTGTATTTATATTCTATTCATTATATTTAGGCCGTTAGGAGACAAACAAATACACAAAAAAATAATGAAGACAAGAGAAACAGCTGTCTCCTTGTGGTGGTTCGTCCGCCCCAATAAAGAAAAGTATATATATATATATATATATATTACGTATATATGTATATATATATATACATGTTATTGTGTATATATGTATATGTATATATATATATATAATATATACAGTAATGCGTAGTTTGTATATATGTATGTGTATAT